AAAATTTTTTGAGAACATTAAGAATTCAAAAAATGTTTTTTTGAGAACATAAAATCAAATTTGAATTTTAAACACTGCTTATAACGATTGCAAAATCGCCGCTGCTTATAATTATTTTCGCTTAAATATTGTATAAAAATCAACAGAGTAGCTCTCTAGAGCTGAACGAACATTTGCCAATTCGCAGTGCTTTACTTGACATCATAGTGGTTTGTTATAACAATAAGCAATTTTATACAAAGAAAATGAGTTATTAAATTAATTTACAATCGATTGTTACATATTTTATGTGCTTAATAACTGCATTTGTCGATGCTTATATTTCTTACAATCAAGCCACAGGCTTGAATAACGTCGCGGTTATTTTGGACCCTTATATGTAATATTTTTTAAAAATTAGGCCCTTATATGTAATTATTTTTTATTGGGCCCCCGTATTTGTAATTATTTTCACTTTCCGGAACCTTATTTGTAAATTCCCCTACAGTGTTGTCAAAATTTTTCTAACGGTTGATTAGATCTATATTCTAATTCGTAATTCTACTTATAACTTTTACCCATAGCGATAGAACATGCTAAATATCAACTCATCAAGTGATTCTAAGTGGGGTTAGACTAAAGGCAGGTACAGCACGAAATTTCATAGCTACGACCAATCAAAATTGCGATTACACAAATCAGTGAAAAACGCAAAAAAAATACAAGAAACGGATGTCTAAACCTACCTTGGTGCATTAGGTAAAAATGTTGGCCCTCGCCTTAATTTTAATTAACTTTAGTGATGTATCTGTCTTGAGTTATCCCTTAAAAAAGGCAATTATTCTATTCATGAATACGTACGGAGAACAATAGAATTTTATTCTATTGATTATTGCCAACTTAAATAAAATGAATAAACCAATAGAAAATTTATTCTATTGACTATTTTATCCAATAAACAAATAAAACGATAGAAAATTAGTGTCACAGGGTAGATAGTAGGGTTGTTAATGGAGTAGCTTACTCTGGAGCGCTCTGGAGTAGAACCCAACCCATGTTTAAAATTATGCCTTTAGATTTGGAGCAATCCAGAGTACTATGGAGCAACCCGGAGCAAAACATTGGAGTAAGTCTAATTTAGTGGAGTGGGTTGAAGATTGGTCAACCCAAACCAACACAACCCAACCCATTAACAACCATAGTAGATAGTGAGTTTTCCGAAAATCGTTGGACGCCACTATAATTGAGGTTTTGAGAATCCAATTGCTACATATGAAGCTTGTCGGCCGAATCATAGTAAACAAACGCGACACCAAACATCCAAAGAACGAGAACGCGTAAGAGGCTTGGGTTGAAGAGAAGTCATTGTAATAACTTGTGACTATAATAACAAAACTTTCGTTGAAAGAAAACCCCTTCTTTTGTAAATAAACTTTTAAGAGTTTGGCTGAGAATTCGTTGTTCAAAGCCCCTCTCATTCATAATGTAATAAAAGCTATAAAAATATCACGTCACGCTTCTGGTGAATTGCTTTAATTTCGTTCTCTCAATTGTGTATTTTCAATTTTTTGATTGTGTGTAAATTCCCGCCCGTAACATCAGAAACCTTTTACAGTATATTCTTCAATTGTAACATTTTCACGAAAATGTAAATAACGATAAAGACGACTATCTAGTATAATATTGTAACAACAAAGTCATATATGTACTTACGTATAGTTAACTATCGGTATGATGGGATTCACCGATTTAACTAATCATTAAAAAATATATATGTATACAAAAAAAGTTTATTCGTACATATAATTTTCGCAAATCCCAAACCATTATTTTGACCAAATCCCAAACTAAAATCTCAAAACTTTATTAATATTATATTCTCATAGCTATATATAATATATCAAGTTTGAAAAAAGTCAAAATTTTAAATATCTCGAAATTTCATTATGTAAACTAGTCCTGGGCTTCTAATTAAAAGTTTTTAACACTTAATTTTACATATAAATATGCCTTCTAACTCTAATCCTAATACTAGCTTGAACACTAACCCTAACTAATAATAAATTTGATTTTTTTTTAAAATTACGTATTAACCTGCGATATCACAATCTGCTACATTTAACAAAACTCTTTTTGTAAATGGCAATTGCTTTTTTTAGGTTTGAGATTTGTTCGGGGTTTACCGGCAAGTATAATTCGTACAGTCTGAACTTGATCTTGTATGTCAATCTAAATTTTGCGACAACGAATCGATAAGTTTCTGATTTCGGCCGACGTCTGACTTATTGATTCCAACTCTGTAACCTATCAGAATTTATGAAACGGCTGTAAAATTTAAGTCCAGATGGTTTGAAGATCATGTGAGCCGACAATCTTTCGTGACATGACTAAGCTTCGTTTGTAATAGCGATAAGTTATGAACTTGCACATAAAAATGATTATCGATATCTCTATTATTTGTGGGAACCAATGCTAACAAAAAAATTGACGCGTTCAGCGTCTTATGTCAAGAATCAATGCTTGTGTAATTATTTATACGTATTGACAAGGATTACTGTATTAGACTTTTTTTTTTTTTTTTTTAATCTATATACCTTATTATCAATCCTAAATTGTCATTAATTCGAAATTGTCATCAATTCCCAAAATTTCATAAGTTATATTTCAAACAGTTGAATCCTCTTACAAACGTTGGAATTTTTTCTTAGGCAGTTTTGAAAAAAATTGGACATCCTATCCTTCCGGTATCTATATGTTCGTAATTATAGTTAGTATCCATTGTACGTATATAATAACCAAATCAAAAAAAAATTGTAATTGTAAATTTCTATTTTCAATCACTTACATACATATATACTACAATGACGAGTTTTCTGGACTAGCCAAAAAAGTTAAACTGCTGAACATGCGTTCGCCTACATTAGCATAAATCATGAGTATATTCTCAAAGTATTTTTTTTCAATTCTCATAGAGCTTTCATTGTTCAAAATACACTCACATAATTCTTTTCTAATTCTAATAAAAAGTTTTCCTACGATTATATACATTCTATTTTAAATCAATGGGTCAATGCATATCTCAAAGTCAAGCCGAATTTCAACAATCGAGAAACACGCTGCAGGCACGTGGTGAATTCTTAGGTTCAGACTTGAGGGTAATGTTCAATAATCCTGTATATAGCGATACAATTATTACTTGTAAAGATGGTGGTGTATTGTACGGCAGTAAATTACTTTTGGCGGCCCGTTCTGATGTATTTGCTAATATGTTTTTAAAATCTAAAAACAATAACGATAAAAATGCAACAAATAATGATGATAATATTAGACTTCTGGAATTTAATTCAAAAACAATATTAATGATTCTAGAATATTTATATATGGGAAATATTACGATGGAAACATTAACGCTTAAAAATGTAGTAGAAGCATATTTTGCTGCCGAATATTTTTTACTTCCTCAACTTGAAGAAATAGTAATCTCATTCTTAGATAACGCATTAAAATGTAGTGCGGATAATAATTTGGCTGCAAAACTTTTAACACAAGCAACGGAATTCATGTTACCTTCAACAGATGACATATTATATCGAACACTTTATGATTGTTTAATCGTTACCCCATTAGAAACAATAGATTATGGAATCCTTAATCAGGAAGGATTACAATTTATAATATCCGCAAAAGAGATAAAAACTGAAGAATTTGCAACTCCTGAATACAGCGTATTTCGTTATATAACATTATGGGCGGCTAATAAAATTTCCCAAGACGCTGTTACTTATTTCGAATACCTTTTACCAACATCTGATCATGCAGAACATCTTGACGTCTTACAATTAGATAGATTACGTAGAGCTCATGAAATAAATCATCATAAAAGTAAAGAACTTTATGAATTAATCCTTCCATTATTATCACCTTTGTTAGAATGTGTTGATTTCAAATTAATTCATCCTTCAATATTGGCAAATATTATTGAACCATTGGATTTGGCTCCTTCTGAAGTTTTGGCAGATGCATTTAAATATCAAACACAATTACCTCCCGGTGTAGGTCCTAAAAGAAATAGAGGCATTATTACCGCGAAACCTGGAAATATGAGACTTCAATGGGATCAAAATGCTCATGGTCCAAATATTTTTGTTCTTGAGAATAACACAGTTCTTAAAAGTCGTTCAAGAAAATCTGAATTTGCAAGAACAACTCTACCAATTCGAGGTCATGAAATATATGAATGGGATATTATAATAGAGGAAGATTGTAAATATATTTGGATCGGTGTGTGTACTGAAAGAAGATTCGAAGTTAATTATTCAAATTGGTTAGGTGGAGAAATTTATGGTTATACACTTGGATCAAACGGTTCACTTGCTCATAATAGAGGTCCAAATAATGAAAAATCTTTAAAAAATTCTACTATTTATGGAACAAAGTTTGGAAAAAATTCTCGTATTACTGTTCATTTAGATATGGGAAATAGAACTTTATCATTTTCAATTAATGGTGTAAAATATGGTGATGCATTTACTGATTTACCAAGTGAAGTTTACCCGGCTGTTTCATTAAAAAAGCCAGGAAAAGTTAGAATTGGTCTTCATCAAAATACTGTTTCGATGGTTGAATTGAATAACAATGGTCCAGTACAATAACATCTTGCATTCATTATTTATCGTTATTTAATATACAATCGAGCTAAATTAAATAAATTGTATTTATTGGATTGTAGTATAAAACCTCTATCGTATAATTGGTGGTAGAATTACTGAATTATGGCATTTTACCATATCGATATGATAATTTTATCATAGTATCTGATTGCCGTAAATATTATATGCTATAATGCAATGCCATAATATTATAATATATACTTCAATATCATATGTCCCAATACTAGTTGTATTATATTATTAATATAGGGTAGCTGCGCGATTCTGTCACGGTAAGACCAAAATTTAAATGTAGAGTTTTGTTAGGATTGGGGGGGTACCTATGTTAGGTATTAGTGGAATTCTAATAACCAACTGTCCTTGCGTTACCAACCTAAAAAATTTCACTGGCCAATCAAATTTCAAGATCAGGTGTGACGCAGAAGAAACGCGAAAAATCAAAACAAACCAAAAACCGCTCATAACTCAACATTTTATCTATGAAATCACCTTCGGCGACTAACAAAAAGTTTTCCTTGCGAAATTTTGGTACTACTATAGCTCTTTTCAACCTAGTTTAATAGCAAAACCTAATCCTAATCTAACAGCGAAATTTTTTTAGCAAAATTTTTTAGGTTGGTAACGCTAGATCAGTTATTTTAACCTGACACAAATTTTATCTTTGGTTTAAGAACGTACATTTATAGAGAGGTTTGATTGTATCGGTATTTTAAAAATATTCCATTGATATATAATTAGTTAATTAAATATTAATTTGCAAAATTGGTTACAAAATACAACTACCAATTAACCTTATTTTAATTAGAATAAACACGTATTAATTGCAGGGATGGATCAGTCCTGGAAAGACCGAATAAGGACCGGTCTTTTTAACCGGTATCATGTTAAAAATATATTTTAGACAATCGCTTATTTCAATTACCAATGTTATATGATTTAATTCTCTCCGCTAGCCAATAAGATAGTTAGAGGCCGGGACCGCGACCGGACCAAAAAACGCTAATGGACCGGTCTTATTAGGACTGGATGGACTGGACCGGACTGATCCATCCCTAATTAATTGTCATTTTTTATATAATAAAAAGTTATGTGAATTATATATATTTTATATATCCATTGCATTAGAAAAAGTGGATGCATACAAATATTTTACAGTGGGTGCACTGACTAAATACCCTCTTTTTCAATATCCCCGCGCAAAATATCCTGGTATAAAACATGAGGTCTATTAGTCAAAAAAAATTTTCCTGCAACATAGACGCGCAACAGCATAATATACCTGAGTCCTTTAGTCAGTGCACTGCTTTTATGATACAAAAAATTTATTATACGGGCTAGATGCTGAGAAAATGACAAAAAAAAAGATCAATTTTTATATTATAAATCTTATAAGAAAAATATCAACTTTAAAGAGCTATACTGCAAAATTTTATTAATACAACTACTTTTGTGTCAAGTGAAAATGATTCTAAATTTATTCTAAATTGATTTATGTAAAAAAATTTCTTGAAAAAAAAATAATCAATTTGGGCCCTTTTCTCAGCACGTAGCCCATATATATGTACCAAAAGTTGTAAAGGTTTTCTTGATAAAATAAATAGAATCATAGATTATATAAGGTTAAATTAGGCATAGAATAAAACATGTATAAATTTTTAATCCTTCCTTCCAATTAAGGATTAAAACCTTTTAACTTCTTACAACGGTTTTCATAATTCTGGGACACGAAAAATTGGTAATAACGATAACCGAATCGATAAGTTTTTTCGGCCGACCTCGGTTACTTATCTATTCGATTATACGAAAATTTTTAGCTGTCCCAGAATTTATGTAAAAAATTTTCCGATGACCGAATAGATTACCGATGTCTGCCGTATCAAAAACTTATCGATTCGGCCTTCAGTTGTTCTCATAAATTCTAGAACACCTAAAAATTTGCTCGTTTCCCGAAGCCTTTTCGATTTATCCTAAAAATCACCTAACCTTCGGTTTCGAGAAACGATCAAATTTTTAAGCGTCCCAAAATTTATGAAAACAGCTGTAAAGATTGCTCTTTACTCGAAATCTTTTCATTTCGTCCTGAAAATTACCTAACTCTCCGGAAATTATATTACTGTCTCCGGATTGGAGGCTAGAAGATGTTTAGTATTCAAGGTGTTAGGACGAAATTGAGAATGTTTCGGGTAACGAGCAAATTTTTTAATTTGTCCCAGAATTTATGAGAACAGCTGTATTATGGCTTTAGTACGTACGCATGCATAACTCTGACTGAATACTGAAGTGTTATCTTAAGCATCTTCGCTGGCAAATAATTGAAAACATTTATCAATTCAAACAATTGCCAAACATTTACATTTAGGTGTCAGCAAATCTTCGATAAGTCAGTTCTCAAGCATTTCAAACATATGGATGCATCGAAAAACTTTCGACGCTTATACAAAATATTAAGTACGTATCTTTTTTGTATATTCAATTGTCAAGACTAATTTTACGTCACAACCAAAATCCAGATTTTAGTTTTATATAAGTAAGCTTTTATTCCCTTTTTGGATTAAGTCTATTAGTTTTCACGATCACTGATCTGTGTCATACGATTATATGATTTGGCCAAAATTACATGTGTAAATTTGGCCGAATCATGTGATCACATGACAAAGATCAGTGATCGAGTAAACTTTATCGAAGGTGTTGTCTATAATAGACTTTTTTAATATCAGGTCTACATTATATCCAGAGCCTTGTTTATATTTCATGCTGAAGTTTATTTTCTGTCTTTTTTTCATAAATTTTTATATAAGTGGACAAATATTCGAACGAAAATTTAATCATAAGGGCGGATTTACACACAAATTTTGGGGTATTGACCAACTAGTTGGGGTGGAACATTCAATAGACTTTAATAAACT